GTTTCCTTCTGCTGTCCGTCTAGTAGGACGTCTAGTAAAATGGTATTCGTTTAATTACAACATTATGCTTCAGGGGCTTCTTGCGCTTCAGGGGCGAATGCTGCGTCTTGCCAGCGAGTCATATAATAGCAGCGTCTTTTTTTTTTTTCTCGTGCTTTTTGTCGCAGCACGTATTAGTATTCTCTGCCGCCGTTCTTCTTTTTATTTCTTTGTGTATTGTTATGTGCATGTACGTGAATTACTGCATTGTATTACCCACTCCTGTAAAAGCCCTGTCTAGGACCTGACAGTATCAATAAATAAATAAATAAATGTGCAGATGGAATCAAGAAGTACTTTTTTATGCCATCTGCACTTGACGCCCCTGAAGCACAATGTTGTAATCAAACTAATACAATTTTACTAGACTTCTTTTGCCATATACAAAGCTGTTGACGGAAGCGTAGTATGTCTCTGTTGTTTGGATGCCTATCAGGTAATGATAACGATAATATTGATTTGCACGAAAGTGTTGCCCTGTTACGTCCGAGGGTGATCAGAAAGGTTCGAACCCATACGCAAGTGCGCCTCCCAGCCCGCCACACAGGACACGATATGAAAGTTTTACAAACAAACAAGTAAACAAACAAACGAACACAGAGATTAATGAGGCTTCAGTTCGCTAGTCATTTCGGTAACTACAGCTAAATGCCCAAAATGTCCTTCTAAATCAACACAGCAAAATCACTTACCGTCAAATAATTTAAGACCGCAAATGATTGTATCAGCTGGTCAAGGTTGGTGGGTCGGTGACATTGGATGTTGCCTTTTGACTCAACTTCCTCGGTTATTGAAGAATGAAAGAGTTACCTTATTTCATAGAAAAATTAGGAAGACAGGTTGGTCTTTTGCTTCTGTTACCTTTGAACGCAGCTGACCTAGGAACGCGGAACGTCCGAGGGTGCGCTTTGAATCGAACAAAAAAGGAGGTTGGCTTCATTCAACATTGTTTGACCTAATTACTATGAGTGAAAAATTAATATGATTCTTCGGCGGTGGAGAAGCGTTTCAACTAAACGCGACGTTGGACCCAATATATATATATTTTGGATCTCTGCTATCTACGGCATGTCTTGGTTCAAGTGCCAGCAATATTATTCACAAAAAACAATAAACATCGGTAGCATTATTTGTATGAAAGACCACCTCTCCCTAGACGTAAGGGTTTGGACTGCCACTGTCCTTCGGTTGTTTTCAGAGCTTTGGAAACATTTTTCCCGTTTCCTCGCATGACCCCAAGACGTTGTAATGGATATGTTGCCTTGGGGAGCTGCACTATTAATTGCGCTCATGCAGAAGTTACGAAGAAACACTCGCACCACGCACGTAAGTACAAGGTTTGCTGAGAGCAAGGAGAAGGCCGCACAATCGTTCAGACTTTCTGATTTTAGACTGTATATGGAAGGAAAGAAAAATGGTAGTCCTTAAACAATAGTACTTGGAATGAAGAGCGTGCTGGTAAGGATAATATAAATAATGGGAAGAACACAAAACGCAGGGACGGACAACAATAAAAACCGTCTTGTCTGTCCTTGTGTTTTGTGTTCTTCCCACTATTCATATCATCCTTAAACACTCTTCGGTCATTTAATCGTTACGCCGAAAAACCATGAGGCGAATCAATTTCTAGAACGTGTCTTTCAAGATGGATAAAAAATAATGGATTCTTGCATTTTGATTGAGTTGGAGTCTCGCAGCGTAGCTAAATTTATTTCGTATGCTTTTTCTGAAAAAAAAACAACAAACAAACTATGTAATGAGTTTTTGGGAGACGTAGGATTGGGCTTGGTCCACAAAACGGTTTCTAGAAATTGTTTATTGGCACCGCAGCTTATCGAATTTACGGGATTCCTATAGACCTTCGCATCGCTTATCACCTGGGCGAAAAAATGCTAAGTCACTAAGCTGTGGACTCAGGCACAGCGTCCGATATGCCGCACAGCAGGTCAACAGTGCATGCTCAGAAAGCGTTCCACAGCCGAGCAGACAAAGATGGCAGCGCGCAGATGGCGATTTTCGCAAAAGGTCTATCTGTAGACCATTCCATTTAGCGCTCTCTGGGCGGCACCATTTTGTTCGACAGCAGCGCCCTCTCCATACATCCGGGTAATTCAGCGGGTTCGGAGCTCTAGGTGGTGTTGGTTCGGCGGGGTAAAACGAGAGAGAGGGCACGCGCCCGACTCCGCTAGCAGACGACAAAACGAGAGGTTGCCATTCTCCATCTTTGGGCTGTATCGGCGGGCTGTACGGAACATCGAACTCTCGCTCGTGGCTGCCGTTGTGAAGTGGTTCGCGTTCTTAGAGTAGTTATGGCTACTCCAAAATCAGCCTAGAGCTCTCTGTTGTTCTACTTCGGTAAATGATCAACTGACATATCTTTCTTTAAATAGCAGTTGAGTCAGCCGGCAGTACTACCCTCAACTACTGCGTGTATTGCGGCAGAAGAGTACGTTTTTATTTATTATTTCAGACATCCACTCATGGTTGCTAAAGGCCTACACCACTACGAACTCTGTATAGTAAAAAAGGTACAACCACCGGACTCACTTTTCGCCGGAAAGACAGGCCAGTCTAACACAGTTTTCCCTGCTTTTTTTTTTTTTTGCACGCAGATAACAGCGCAATTGGACTGTGTTAGTCTTTTTATCTAGCATAGTAATACACGATAACTGGCATACCAAAATCTGCGCATCTGCGTTTGAAATTTCCAAAATGACGCGATTTTAAACAGAGTTTATACGCCAGCCGGATGCTAGGTACTGCCCACTCGGCGGAGCAGACGAGATACGGGTGAGAGGAGGAGGGCATTTTTTTCTCTCTATTACCCTCTCTGCTATGACACTAATGTTGTCGACGACAATCGTGCTTGTTTTTTTGGCCGAGACTCGAAACATTCAATTTACATTCTTCCCTTCAAGCGAGCAAGCCGGCCGTGTCGCGGCGGTCGCCTATTGTTCGCCGCGACCTGGCGGTAGCCGCCGCAGGAGCATCGGGCAGCAATGGCGACGAACAGCACGGCGGACAGTGTCCCCGTCGTGATTACGACGGAATTTAAGGCAGTTACGAGTTCGGAAAGATTCTTCGGAAGCCGGTGCCGCCGGCTCAGAATCATCGCGAAGTGATAGCAACGAACAGCACAGAGGACAGTGGGCGACTAAGAATCCGGAAAGCTTCTTCGGTAGCCGGTGCAGAATCATCGGGGGGGAAGCAGTGGCGATTAGCAGCACAGCGGACAGTGTTCCCGGGGTGACTACGACGGGGTTTGAGGCGGTTACGAATCCAGAAAGCTTCTTTCGTGGTGCCAATATGACGAAGAGAAAACTTTTTCATGAATCTGGCCGCGTGTGCGACGTGAAGGAGGTCGGTTTCGACGGACAAGTGGATGTCACGGAGCGCCGTACTCTGCAAACAAAATTAAGCGCGCCCGCAAAACAGTTTTGTTGGCGCTGAGTGGACTGCGGTAATTATGTACGTTTATTTCTGAATCAGCTTGACATTAACTGGGCGATTTTTTTTCGCGCCGTTCCGCGATTCTCTTTACTATCTTCCTGTAGGCTGATGGAAACATCCAACGGTAGGCTTAGGAGGGCGACCGCATTCCGCTTCTCGATTCCGGTGAAGTATTTGCTGCATTCTTTAGTGTTTGCCGTCGGTGTCGATGCTGTTCCATCGTCACTAGAAGAGAAAAAAAGTTAATTGTATTATTCGGCAGCAGCTTAAACAAAGCGCGAACTGGAAGGTAAGAAACACCACTAACCTGTATGGACGCACAAGCCGTACCCAGGTCGCGCAGTACTCCGCCTCGTACGGCTTTGAAGAGACGATGTAGTACTTCGTGCCGTGCGCGATCTTGCCGACCACGCAGCAATTGTTGCGGCTTTCTTGGTGCGGAATAGCCATCTCAGAAATTACAGCGCTAACCCACTACAACGCACAACCAACGCAGCGACTGGCAGAAGATGCCCGATGCAACGGACCCGTTTGCCGCTAGGGGCGCCCTGGTCGGGGCTTGAATGTATGCGAAACTAGTTTCGCATGCGAGTGCATGCGAAACTAGAAATAAAACAGCGCGGAGTAGGTAGACTGGCTTTGGGGGCGCATTGCAAAACGCCAAACCAGGGAGTACAAGGAGACATGGGATGGGCATCATTTGAGAGCAGGGAAGCGGTGAGCAAGGTAGAATTTGAGGATAGGTTGAGGCTAATGGATGGGGAGCAATGGGCACGAAAGGTTTTCAGCTATTTATACATGAGGAGTGTAGACACAAAGTGGAGACAGCGCACTAGGAAATTAAGAGGAAGGTTTTTGGGCTATAGCGAAGATACGGAAGAGCAAGTCTCAGTTAAGAAGAAAGTTAAGGCCACAGAAAGAGATCGGTGGCTAGAGGGAATGCAGACAAAGACTGCTCTGGAAAGCTATAGATTAAACAAAAGAGTTATTGCCAAAGAAAGCATTTATGACAATTCTAGGGGAAGCTCATTGCTGTTTGAGGCAAGAACGGGTGTTCTGCGAACCAGAACATACAGAGTGAAGTACCAGGAAATTGATACAGTGTGCACTGCTTGTGGAGAGGAGGACGAGACGGCTGAGCACTTGATACTCTACTGTAAAGGGCTTCACCCTACGCCTACCGAAGACAACATAGGTTTAATAAAGTCATTGGGTTTTAGAGACAGCGAAGGGAGAGTGGATTTCAAGACTGTAGAGATTACCAAGCAAAGATTAAGTGAATGGTGGCAGAAATCGAGAGAAAACTAGGTATTTTCTTAATCACTGATGGCAAGGGGGTTTCATAGCCTCACTTTCTTTGCACTGCGGAGTGAATATAGATTTCACATTTAAATATTCTAAGCTTAAATGGTAAAACAAAATGGCTAGGTGGCGTAAGCTACCGCCCGATCCAAAGGGCTCAGCCGTATTCATCCATCCATCCATCCATCCGAATTAGATCCGCACGGTTCCTATGGGCACCCTTGCCTCCAGTCAGGTCGTCGCAGTCCCGGTGGTAAGTCCGTCTCGGACGAATTCACCGCTGGGTGGTCTTCGTTGTTGATGACGACGAAGGCGCGGCCTCTGCGGCCGAATGCAATCGCGTGCCCGCCGTTGTCCCACCAGCGAGTCACAGAGGCGTCGCCGGCCACCTTGCGCAGTTCCACGAGGTTGGAGATCTCGGGCCATCTGGGAGAGTGGTCGTGTTTTGCGGGTAACTAAACCCGACCGAGTGTGTCTACCATAAGCTCTCGAGTTTATGGCAGGGTATGGCCTCAACTCGGTATAGATTATCCAAATAATCGCTTTCTTTTGTCTGCATTTTTTTTTCTCTTCTAGGCTTTGGAACGCGCCGTAAGCATGCGCATAATTGTCCCCCGTTGAATATTAGACGCCTCGAGAGCGTCCCAGACCAGTGACCCGTATTCTTCGCATATAGTAAATATTATGCGCAGTAAATATGTATACTGTGAGCTGACACGTTTTTCCCAGTAAAGACAGGCGCGAACGCAAAGCGTGAGACACTCGTGAATACTTATTGCATTTCTTCTTTAAGAAAACATGAGAGAAGTACTATGCGTTTTTCTTCTAGGAACTCAGATAAAAAGGCTATGCTAACGACATCGTTGGTGGATTCACCACCCGCCCCAAGCGGCAACCACGCTGAAGCTTGAACAAAGAACGCCGCAAAGCGGCAGACTCATGCGCCTTGTCGTCGATTTCTGCTCGTGTTGTGAGACGCTGCGAGAGACGCTGACGCGAGCAGGGCGCCGCATGCGCGTGGATTCCCTCGTTATGACGTTTAATTCCGGGGGTGCAAAGGTGCAGGATTTGTTTTCTATAGGCGGTTTTGGGTGGCTACACACTCTAAAAAAACTTTTCGTCGTAAAATATCTCTTAGGGGCTCTTTGGCTTGTCCGTATTTTGCACTCTCAAAAGTTATCTTTAGGGTGGAAATCCCCTACAGCTTCTTGGTGAAAAACCTATGCCGAGAGCAAGTCATCTGCTTCTTGAGCGGGAGTCGCTGGGACGTCAGAACGACGCCTTTGATTGAAGTAGTGGGTAGACCCAGCAAGCTGCCCTTGAGGTCTACCCACTATCCTTCAATGAGAGCCAATCACAGCTCGGTGTTCTGACGTCGCCACAACTCCCGGGCAAGAAGCAACTTGCGCTCCGCATAAGGGGTTCTTTTCAACTCATTTTCTGATGCGAAAGAGTTCTTCGTCGCCCGTTGCCTTTCTAGCGCGCCAGGGGGCGATAGTGCTTGAGGCAAAACTATAAAGGCTCTAGTGAGGGTGGGCGCAACTCAAAACCTGGAGAGCGTTTGCAATTTAATGGCGCCTGAGGGAGAGGATTCGTGAAAGGATATGCGCCAGTGTTGCCTGCACGAGAGCAGGCGCCCGCTCTGTTGCAACTCTGTTGCTCCATGCGCCTTTCCTCCTCTCGCCTCCCATTGCAAGCAACGAGCGCCTTGGCGCAGCCTCTCTCGCTTCCTTCTCGCTCCGAGAATTGCAAACGTCGAGCGGAGAAAGCAAAGTTGCCAGACAAGCAGCAACGTCCAAGGTGGCGGAATTTACCATTTTTCGCGTTAAAAAAATACTTAACCTATCGCAACAAAAATGGTGGCTATAGAAACGTAATCATTTGTACCTTGCGTAAATTATTCAAGCACCTTAATGGGCTTTTATGACCCGAGTTAGGAAAGAAAACGACCCTTTGCCCCATAGACTCCCAGCAAAATTTAGTAATTAAATGGCGTCCATGTCCCGTGATCGCCGATCTAGCAGTTGCACCCACCCTCACTTGAGCCTCCCTAGGCAAAACCGTTCTTCACCAGCTGAAAAAATTCTTGGGGCGTCGAAGAACTTTTCAAGTGTATTTATTCTCGGCTAAAGGTCTCCTAAGGAGGGGAGCCGTTTGTATTCGAACAAGAAGCTTCGACGGTGTAAACTACGGGCGACTGAAGAGTTTGTGTACACAGTTCGTACACTGCCCATAAAAAAAAAAAAAAAAAAAAAAAAAAAAAAAAAAAACACGCACACAAAAATAAAACAGAGAAGCACACAGCACACTCCAAGAATGATGCACTAAAAGTTGAATATTGTGCCCATTAAAAGAACTCGTTGTCTGCTGTTCCTTTTATTACGTCCCTAAATAAATAAACCCCTCGTTGTGTTTTTTATTTATTTAGTGCTGAGAAGCATCTTTTCAGCATTTAAATGTTTATTGAAGACAAATGTCTTCCTGCGTAAAATTTTATTTTTAGCGCGCATATTTTAATCACTTGTACGTTATATGCTGCTCGTGCCAGCTCTAGGATCTGGCCCTCTGCATTTGCCTGTGCTCGCAGACCCATCCGTTTCCGCAGGTACCGTCCGGGTTGCGCACCACTGGCCTAATGTTCCAATCCGAGTCCGCCGGAGGACCCATCCAGTCGTTGATGTCCTTTCCGTCCACGACGTTCCTCTGCCAGCAGTAGGTGCTCGTGATCCTCGGCAGACCGTAAGGCAAGGCCAGGAGGAAAGCCGTGGCCATCTTGTAGAGGCGGGCATCGAAGAAGGTCGGCACTTTCTCTCCGCCGTAGCCATGGCCTCGCTGGTTGTCGTGGTTGCTCAGGAAGGACAGTGCGTCACCCGAAGGCATCAGGTCTCAGCTCTTGGTGAAATTACGGAGGTCCTTTAGCGTCTTGCTTTTGAAACACGGTGCCTGTTCATTCGATAGAGCGGTTAAACACAGCAAAATAGTTTGCACTAGGTTATTAAAAAAACTATTCCAAGTAACTATGATTAAAATAAATATTGAATGACCATTGAATTTGTTGCGAAGGTTTTGCAGAAGAAAAAAAAGGATTTTAGCGAGAAGTGATCACTCTCTTCAACTTTACCAATATGGAACGTTATTATGAAATGGGTTGTTTTTGGACTGTACTTTTATATTTCCCTTATGTTAACTTTTAAGGGCTCTGTCACTTCACGCAAGTGTAAAAATGTAGAATAGATTAATTAAACTTTGTATCTTATGCTAGTTTGGTACTTTGGTTCGTACAAAGCACATGCATACACATTTGTCTATTTGTTTTTATTAGCACATTTCAGTGTGTCACAAACCAAGGCATCGCTAAACCTAGACTAATCGCATCCTTATTAAAACCAAGTCCGCTTAAGGGCTGCGACTTCTGAAGGAAGTGCAAAGGAACGCTGAAAAAACCCGCCCCAAAATGCGCAACACAAATTTCAGGTGAAAAAATGTATCATATAACGCGGAACAAATAGTGCCAGGATAAATAAAGGAATAACTTTTAAACGCCCCACAGGGAAGTTCTACGCAGAACTCTAAGTTTCTGAGCCTAAGGTTTTAGCACTTTGCCAAGGGTGATATATATATATATATATATATATATATATATATATATATATATATATATATATATATATATATATATATATATATATATATATATATATATATATATATATATATATATATTATATATATATATATATGGGTGGTTTCATCCCAAATCGTGCAGGCAAAAAGGGTAGAATTTTTAATTTCGCCGAAAAAAGTATATATTATGGCGTTGTTTCTAAAAACGCAGTAGCCACAAACCGCAAGTTCGTCAGATTTTTCGTTCTCGACTTGCGAATTTTAAAAGAGGCCGCGGCGGAAAGCAGTGTTTTTCACATCCATCGTGGGTTGGATGTTTCGCTCGATCTCCTGCCGTGGAGTTTGAGTCCACATTATATTAACTTCTTTGAAGCACTCTGTGAACATATTATAAGGCTCTAATACCATGAAATGATTTTAGGCGTTTTGCTTTTTTTCTGTAAAAATGTCAAAAACTCCCCCTCGGTTAATTGTTGACGAACTTTGACAATTAAATACTGGCGATCTACTTGGGTTACATCAATATTTTTTATGTCTACGGAGAGCCCAAAACACGTTCTTTATATATATTATAATATTTTACGGCTGTTTTAAATAACCTTTGAGGGACGTTTACGTTAATGTTATGCGAGAACCAAAAAAGTACCAATTTTGAAATCGATTTTCTCAAAAAGCCCATTTTTTATTTTTTTTTTATTTTATTGTTAAAATGTAGATATGATAGTTGTCTACTCAAAAATTAAGTCGAGAAAGTGTGTATTTTGTTTGTATGTTTTATATTTAAGCATCAATATCGTACCAAAACGTGTTTTTACGGCTCGAAACGGACTTGCGAATTGCGCGTCTTCACAAACTTGGAAATATTTTTGCCTTTTTCAACGTTCCCACATAAAAATGAAATACGGTACTTCCACCCTGTTATATTTATTGACTATCTAACTTTTGTTATAGGCGGCAAGTTACAATGGAGGAGTTCAAACAAGAAACCAGCACTACTTAAAGGCGGGCGCTCAAAATTTTCTTCAGCGTGGCAGAAATTCCCCCTCTTTTCTTTTTTTCCTCCTCCCCTTTCCTTCTCAATTTTCCTCCTCGCTTTTTTACGGCCTTCTCGCACGAGTGCTAATGGGCTTACCGGCCCCCCGACAAAATCTCTGTAGCCCTTCAAGGTTCTCTGCTTCAATCCCATACATCAGGGATTAGTTAGGCAGCCTGGACATGAGCTCGGAAGGGTTCGGGCTGGCTCGCTTTTCTCCTTTTTTTTTTTTTTTTCTTTTTTTTTTACTCTCTTTTTTTTGCAGCTCTAAAACACACTCAGATAGTCAACACCAACTAGCCCAACAACAAGTTCTTTTACATTCAGATACTTCCGCGTGCGGCCACATGCCCTACAACACCGTAAATGGTGGTATATTTATCTCGAGTGAACGGAACTTGAACATCACAGCAGAAGGAAAAAAAGATGGGTATTTTTATCTGAACTTTGAGCTCTACCTAGAGAGTTGAAAATTTCTCGTTCTAACAACGGCACACTGAAGAGTGATTGTATCACTATTGTGTTTTTGTTTTTCTGTTTTTTGTACAAAGTAATAATCATGAGTAATTACAAGTCAAAGATATTGCAGTCGGAGGGACACAGTCTGACCATTTCTGGGGCATAATATATAGGTTCGCACTACAGGTGTTTTCTACAGTGACGGCCGCCTCGTTGAAGCTACTAAGAAGAGTAAAAACAAACTTCCATAAAAAGCGAAACGGTTTATGGTATATTTCATCTATTTTCAGCCTTTGAAAAAAAATTCTTCGTGGCCAAACGTGCATTTAGTTTTTGCCAACAAATGTAACTCGCGTGGCTTCCTTCTGACCTGTAACAAAGCTTATGAAACATGACAAAATACCTTGTGATAAAGCGCCCGTCCCATCATAAACTCAATTTCGAATGTCCCGGGATTTGTTTTTATAGGCCGGGAAAAAAGAAAAAAAAGAGATGCATGCAAAGCCGCGTGTTTCACGCTTTATTTATATCAGTAAAGAACTGCCCTTTGTTTTATATACAGCGTTGGTTTTGTCTCTTTTTTTTTTTCACCTACTAGATATTAGAAAAAAACGTGCAAATTAACGTTTTGTGGATGTGAGCTCTACGGCCAGGTGAAGATTGGGTTCAAGAAAGAACGCAACAAAACCGACTGGTTACCTAAAATTTGTTAATGAACTTTTTGAATATAAAAGAAAACGGGATAATTTTTGTCAGTATATTGTCATTGTTAACTTTATTATCACTTTTTACGTGCATTTAGTGCTCTTGTTTTCTATTTTGCGCTCTCGGTGCGTTTTGTATTTAATCTTGTAACCACTTTATTCTTCGTAGCTCTGTTGGAGGTATGAATCATATTCTTTTCTGTGTGTGTGTGTGTGTGTTTGTTCCTCCCTGCCACGGCCCCACGGGCCAGCAGTATGTACAAATTAATAAATAAATAAAGTTGTTGGGCGTAATCGAAAGCCACCAAATTGTCCAGTGAAAATTAGCGCCATTGCGATTTGTGTAGGTGAGCTATACGGCCAGGCGAGGATTAGGCTCATGAAAGAACGCAACTAAAACCGACCGATTGCCTAAAATTCGCTAATTAACCTTTTAGTTAGAAAAGAAAAACGACATCGTGTATTTAGAAAGTTGTTGGTCGTAATCGCGAGCCACCAAACCGTCCATTCATAAAAAGATGTAACGCGCGTACACTATTATACGGCGTCTTGATACGGCGTCCTCCTAATTTGGGCGCGAAAATATAGTTCTGATTTTATGTGGGCTCCATCTCCGCGTGGCACAGCCTAACGCCATGAAGCCAAAGCGACAAATCATGGGCATCGCTGTGACAACGCCACTGTAGAAGGGGCGAGGAGTGCGGCGGCCGAAAAGATTGCGGTAACACGATTCGCGTCCAAATTCGGCATTTTAGGACGCCGTGAACCACTTCACGTCCACTACATCTCTTTAAAAATGAATGATTTGGTGTTTTTGATGACTACAGATAAGGCACAAACCGAAATCGCGTAACTCGAACGTCTTTTGTAAAAAAATGTCTACTCGTAAAAAAAAAAAAAAAAAAAAAAAATCGCTCTGTATAAGCGCGATTGTAAGGCAGTTCTTTACGTCCGGCGACATCATCACGGCATGGAAGGAGACGTTGACCACAGATCATAAGCTGTGTATGATCTGTGGTCACTGTTTTTTTTTTTCGTACGAGAATGAGCAAACATTTGATACAAAATAAAATAGATTTAGCATTCACCAAATTCGACTTGTTTTACTTGATTCAAATCGATATTTGATTTTATTACACTTATCTTGTACCCGCACACGCCTCCTTTATTCCCTAATGAGTTACAAGTGATAATTACATTGTTTTTTTTGTCGTGCGAGGTCATCACAATTTATTATTAACAATCGGAGCTGTGCGATTACGCGGAGGCGGCGCATTTGAAGATATTCAAAATTGTTCTGAATACACAAACAGGCTCAAACGTCTTGCTGTCTGGGTCCTTTCCTACACATATGTCCAATTATAAAGCCAAAACCTTGTAGAGGAGACTATCTCTATCTACTCAACGCGCAAACACGATGTGAAGCGTGTCTGCGTACGTTGGAAAAGAGATACCGGCGAGCAAACCATAGCGTCGAATGTCCATGCATCAAAATGTCCGTGCACCGAAATATCCGCGCACCGAAAAGTCCCACACCAAAATGTCTTCGCAGCAAAAAGTCCGTACACTGAAACGTCTGTGCACCAAAACGTCCGCACCGAAATGCCCTACAGCAAAACGCTCCACGCCGAAAAGTGCTAGACCCACTACGGATGGGGTCCTCCGTCACCTCTGGCGGTTTACGAACCATAATGATACAGAACCACTGGTCTATGGAGCGCCATCCCTGATATACAGAAAACGCCGCTCGTACTTCCCGTTGTCGCCATGAATCCCACAACGAAAGATGCCAAATCAGATATTTATATTAAAATTGATACTTTAATGACTACTTCTTTGAGCAGGACGAGGTATTTGTGCTCTCACAACCAGCAAGAATCATCCTCCAAACCAATGCTAAAAAAGAGCCAGTGCAACTCGTTGGGAAGAGCAAGTGCCAAGCTCGCTCAAAACAGCTCCTCGGTTGGTTCAGCTCCTTGTCGCAGGTGTGCCGGCTGGCTTCTGGATAATCTTTTCAAATCCTTGAAGCCTTTTATTTCCTCCGCCCCAACCTTGTCCAAAAAAAAAAAAAAAAAAAAAAAAAAACAGCAAAAAAAAAAAAAAAAGTCGGAAAACGGCGA